ACCAGTCTTTTACTGTGGAAAGCATCTTCCAAGGGATGTAATATCCCTATAAACAGTAGCTCTGTTTCTGGTGAGGAATCAACACCTCTTTCGCTTTGTGTAGTCCACCTGTGGAAAGGTGGTGAAAAGGTCACTCCACCAGCAGCAAAAAATTTCAAAGTAACTAATTGGACTCCTCAAATCTGCAGATTCCTTCCCTTGCTTAAGCAAGTCTTCTTTGGTGAATAGTAATGAAATATAAAATGTTGCTAAAGTAAAAGGAATATGGCTGTCAGAAATTGCTTTTCATGCAAATTCTTTTTACATTTTAAATGAATAATGTCCCCTTTATTTATATGAACACTGAGATGTTCTGCACTGAAGTAAACTCCAAAGTCAGGTGTAGACACTTTATAAAACAATCTTCTTCTAATATGGGCAGGATTAACTGCTCCATGAGATGTTTAAAATATTCTGCTCAGAGTGAAAAATATGGTTAAGCTAAAGCAGACAACATAGTGACTTTACCATCTCAGAGCTCATTATTCAGTCTCAACTCAGCCATTATTATAAATAGCAGGAACCAGTAACGCTACGGGTGATGAAGACATTTCATGTAAATACAAGTTTCTGTGAGATATGAGCTCCAGAAAGGCTGTCTTTGGAGAATCAGGTTCTCTGAATTTTCATCCTCTGTGAACATCCACTGGCACAGAGCCACAAACTATTTCACCCGCTACAGCCACCTATTAACAGGTCCTGTGGATGTGCCCTAAATACAAGTTTGGAGCAAACCAAACATCAGTGGTGATAAATTCCACTTTTCTCAATCTGGTAGTCTTCAGATATTTTCCCTAAATTATTCTGTCTTAAAACATAGAATAGTTTTCTTTTTTAAATTCTAATCAACTTACACTGTCAGTATTTGGATTTACTGCTGATGCCATAAAACAGTTCTGTTGAAAAATCTCAGTGAATGTTTGAAGTCAAGACATTCAAATTTCTTGTTGGACACAAGTATAAACAAGAATTGCTTATAATTCAGAAATCCTTTTTTTTTTTGGCAGAGAGTATCAGTACCTATTTTCCAGGTTTTCATTCTCTTTTGCATAAAATGATCATGAATTAAGTTATCATATTTAAAAGCACAACAGATGCATTTTTTATGTTTTTTCTTTTAATAACAGCTGTAAGAGACTAAACTACAGCGGAGCTACACATGGATGTGGGGTCTGTATGTGTAAAATTGCTGCAGCTGCTGAGTAAATGTTTTAGCAAGTTACGCCTTTTAAATATGCGACTGACATAAATAGATATAGCCAGTATAAAATCTGTAACATTCTACAACAGAAGTGTCAAAAACCAGGAGATTTTTAGTCCATTTTTACCAAAAAAATGTACCTTGCAATGTGTAGAGTCACTGACTGGGAGGAAGCTGAAGCTCTGTCCAAAGGAAGGAGCATCCTGTAGCAGATACCAGAAAATTTAAATAGTAGGGCTGTTATGCTTCCCTGGTGCACTTTCCCAGCTTCTGGCTTTTTTTTTTTTTTTATCTGTGTCCTTACTAGCCCCTGCTGGCTTTGCCCCTCACAGTTTATCTGATCTTTAACAGTAGTTAAAGGCTGTGAGAGTTGTGCCACTGTTTAATTATGTGTTGAATGGGGAACTGTGACCTTTGGGTGGCCCAGGATGACCCTACTGTCATTACAAGAGGACAGTGCAATATTACCTACTGTCTGTTTTCCTCACACCACTTAGGGTTTTATAGACATCTATAATATCTCCTTTCAGGCTGAAGGGACTTATCTGTTTAATAATTTGCAAAAGGACATTCTTCAGTGCTTGTGGCTGTCTTGATGCTTCTCTCTATTTATTTGCCATTTGGGATAAGGCAGGAGCAGATCTGCACCAACACAGAGCTCAAAATGAAGATTTTTCGCTGTTTTTATGCTCTTACGCATTAATAACTCACATTCTGTACTTTATTCAGTCACCTTCTTTTTTTCTTTTTTTTTTTTTTTGTCAGTGAGCATATTTTTACATACAGCTGTATGTTGTAATTCAAACATCAGCTTCTCAAATGTTGGTAAATCATTACAGTCTTCAGAGGTAGTGTATCCCGAAAAAACTACTCAGAAACAAATTTGAGGAGTGGTCATTGAGAGGTACCAGCTCTTCAAGAGCTTTCAATTGCTTAGGTGGTTTATTTAGAATTGACTGTTTGGGCATAAAGCAATATAAAGTTACTTTTGGCTACACAAATAGTTTTTTTTTGATGTCAGATGTCATGTTTTGTCCTTAGTCCTCCCTACTCTTTCCAAGTTCCTTCACTCCATTAGTGAATTGAGGCTGAAACAAAATAAAAAGTGACAAAAATTTTTTTTTCCTTAGAAAAATTTGCCATTTGGCCTCAGCAAAAAAATCCAGTACGTTTGTCTTAGAATGTTATATATCGGCTGATCACATTGGTCGATGCTGACAAAGCTTCCCTCTCTTTCTGGTAAATTTATTTCCCTGAAATCTGTTCTCTGATCTAGCACATTTAGTTATTCCCTGAAACCAGATTTGAATATTGAGGGAAAGTGAATCTCATATTTGCATAAAAGTAACCTCTGAAACAGATGAGTTTGAATTCAAGTGGTAATGAAGTTATGTATAAGCTAAAAATAAAATTTAGTTCTTGTTTTCCTGCTGTAAGTAAATTATATAATCCTATCTTCTTCAGGTGAATTTGTTGCTGGGCTTGCATTACATAATTTTATTCATTTTGCATAGCTATATTATGATATGAATACTGGGGCTGTAAAGAGGTTCTCCTGGTAAACCACTTTTTTTTTTTTTTCCTAAGCCTTCATTTAAATACTATCTTTGAAATGCATCTTCCATAGGGGGAATGAAGTAGTGAATAAAATTAGTTTCCAGTAGTTCTGCAGCAAGAACTGTCTGTATTTATGCATTGCTTATCATCTAGCTTGGTAAAAAATATCAACAGATATATCACATGCATGTGCAAGAAGTGACATATATATAAAAAAAACTATTTTCAAGCTTTCCTAGCTGGGGATGCTGGGGGGTTGCCACTCCGTAATTTTAATAATGAGCTTACTGCCTTTTATTGTATGCTACAGATGAAACTCAACTTCAGGTGCAACCCTGTTAGCTCAGGCTCCAGCTGATTTATGCAATCAACACTGTACTCAGGCAGAAAACAATTTTTTCTGTGGTAAATAGATATTTTTTCTCCTTAGAGTCACAACACTGGTGTTTCTGTGGTCAGTCTCTCTGCAATTTTATCCATCTTATCTGAACTGCTACATATTTTAATGCTCCCATCTCCATGTTAGTGAGATGCCAGACAAGAAGGGGAATTCATCACTTGTGAAAGAGCATCACTAATGGAGGGCACATGTTTCATTTGGGGTGCTAAATTTATAACACTGAGGGAGGCTTCCAAAATTCAAATAAGACGTGCAGCATAGAGATCAGAAGCTGTGTAAACATGTTACAAAAGGGCTAAAATAGTAGATCAGCCTCTTCTGAACTCAAACTGTAACATTTTCCCAAGAACTTCTAGGAAAGTTGTAATTCTGCATTAATTCAGTCATATAAGCACACCTCCAGGAGGTCCATATATTCTTCTCTGCATGGTGCAAACAACAGCCATTTGTTTCAAGTTAAAAAGCCACCAGACTCACTTTTTACCAATGAGAAGTGAATTGGCTGACATTTTAAGAGAATAAACACTTCCCATAAAAACTGAAAATAACCCAAGGGGATAATCTGATCATTTTGCCAAAAATTGGTGTTATGGCCTTTGAATTTAAATAGTATCTGTCAGGGGGAAAAATCTGGCACTGATTTAACACAGACAGAAGTTTGGGAACTCATGTGTTGCTTAAACAATACTAGTGGAAATAAGATCATAACATGCCCTGTACTATGCTAGGATTTTTTAATTTGATCACAACCAAATGCCCTTAATTCATCTGCTGACTTTTGCTTGACATGAGAAGAGTATCCTTGATAATCACCAACTTTACAAAGGCTTTGTGTAGTTACATCCATTCATAAGTGATACAATAAATTTCTTCTTAATTTTAATTATTGTTATTTTCTTGGAAACAATAACATGATCTCCTGAGATTAATTTGAGATGATACAAATGCCAAGTAGAAAGACATTTAATTTTTTAAATGTTAATGAATTTTATGTAAATTTTGGGCCAGGCCCTGAGTGTTGGCAGTAGATTAAGCTTTGAATCAAGGAGGGGCAGGCATTGATCTCTTCTCTGTGGAGACCAGTGACAGGATCCAAGGGAATGGCCTGAAGTTGTGTAAGGGGAGGGTTAGGTTGGATATCATGGAAAGAGTTCTTCCCTCAGAGGGTGGTTGGGCCTGAACAGGCTCCCCAGGGCAATGATCACAGCATCAAGGCTGACAGAGCTCAAGAAGTGTTTGGATGATACTCTGGGTCACATGGTGTAACTCTTTGGGATGGTCCTGTGCAGGGCTGAGGATTGGACTTGATGATCCTTGTGGGTCCCTTCCAACTCAGAATATTCTGAGATTCTGTGAATCAAAAGCTTGTATCTGCCACAGTGTGTCATTACATGCCATGGAATCCCAAAGTCTTAGTAAAGGCGGGTGCTCTTTGCAGCATCATTTCATAGAATCACAGGCTTGGATTGGAAGGGACCTTAAAACTCATCCAGTCCCACCCTGTGCTGTGGGCAATGACATCTTACATTAGCCTAGGTTGCTCCAAGCCCCGTCCAACCTGGCCTTAGACACTTTCAGGGTTGGGGCAGCCACAGCTCTTCTGGGCAACCTGTGCCAGGGTGTCACCATCCCCACAGGGAAGAATTCCTTCCTAATATCCCATCTAAACCTTGTCTCTGTCTATTTAAAACTTAAGTTCAATGCACAGATGATAAAAGTTGATTGCAGAGCAATGCCCATGGGTGCATCAGGGGCTATTCCTCAGCCCACGCACTCCTAAATCTCCTTGTTGCCTCCCTTCAGGTGTTCCAGGGGAACTTTGACAATGACACACACCGCAAGAACGTCATCGACCCACCGATCCATGCGCGGCACGTGCGGATCCTGCCTTGGTCATGGTACGGCCGGATCACACTGCGGTCAGAGCTGCTGGGCTGCACAGCTGAGAACTGAGAGGGTCCCACTGCCACCGAGGGTCCCTCTGTGGAGGAAACAGTGCAAAGCCTGTAGGATGCTGAGTCGGTGTTCCATGAACCAAGTGCTCGCTCATTTTATGGTAGGCCGCTAACTGTCTTTCGCACGGAGGTCTAAGCCTGCCCTTTAAGTGATCCAATCCAATTTTGTCCTTGAAATCTGTTAGTCTTATCCCTTCTGCTGTGGAATTATCCTCCTAGTTTTCCTTTGAGTTGTTCACACCAGTTGAAATGTATTAAGGGAAAAAAACCAACCAAACAGCAGCATCCTTTTTACAAGGGAAGAGAAATGGTGTGACAACTCTTGTTTGCAGCTTTAGGAACATTGGGCTGACAAGTTCTCCATAAATCATACTGTCATCTTACTTGCAAAAAGTGATACTGCAGCTTTTAGCAATAAGTTTACTTGGGGATGACTGCATTATAGTAATTGTGCCTATCAAACACTGTCAGTACTTATGATATATATTTTGGAAGATACTCCTTGGTACTGTAGAGCGCAGTACCTGTGGTGTTACAAGCTACCTTTCATCACTTTCATCTGGACAGCAGAGTCCATACACTTAGAGTGTTTTCCTGATTAGCCCCATTTTCCTCCTCTATTTTGCATGCTATAGAACATGACCTCCATCTTTTCTGTTTAGTATCACTGCTGATGTTGTTTTCCTTGTCAGAGGTCACCTGTTTGCATATGTAACCAAATCTGCTCTCAGTGTATTATGAAATTAATGAATTTGCCAAAGTTTATTCAATTTTGCTTGAGATGTGCTTTTTCAAGGAGGCAGAAATGAGACACCATGCTACTTGTGGTGTCTCATCTTCGGTGCCCATATAGGTAAAGGCACATGGTGCATCAGAAATCCCATTTCATTACTTGCCCAGGGGTGACCACACAGCCCTACACAAAGCTGCCTGCCCAGTTACTGCTTTTCAGAATCCCCCCGAATTTCTGTGAGGAGGAAAATGTGGTGAAGGAACCAGGCGCTAAAAGACACACAAGAGGAATGATTCCCTTAATTCCAGGAAAATGCTCTCCATGTGCTCTTCTTAAGGTCACAGCCTTCCTCCCAGAAGGCGAGAGGTGTCGTAGGAGTGCTTAGAAAACCTTGGCCCTTGTCACCCTCCACTCCTACAAAAGTCCTTTCAGACACACACCAGTGAGCCACACGAGGAGGTTGGTTTCTACCATGCCTCACCATGCCCCATCTACAGAAATGCTTTGCACATGCTACGCTGTTTTAGCAGTGTTATAGCAACCCCACTTTAAAATTTTAGTAGCTTTTAGAAGAAAAAATGGAGCAGCAGTAGGGGTGTTCTCCCTTATGACTCAGTTTCCCCTCTCGATGGAGGTAACAATGCCAACCTTTGAAGAGCAATCCGAGTTTCCTTAGAATAAAGTGTTCTGTGACTATGTCAAAGTATCACCTAAGTCTAAAAAAAAAAAAAAGTCCTGAGACAATGGGCCAGGGACCTTTTTATTTCTTACCTGAAATAACAGCATTTGTGATTACTGCCAACCTTTTAATTTCATAACATGCTGATATGGAGAGAGAGAATGAGAGGAAGAGAGAGAGAGAGATGCAGCTGCATGTTTTAGCAAATGTCACTGGACTTATCCTTTCTGTCACTGTTACATTCTCACCAAAATTCTGAAGTATGAACCTGGGCATTGCTTCCCAGGCCAACAGCTAGCTGGCCCACAGTCTGCAAAGTGCAAAGTTTACCTTGGACACAAAATGGTTTGGATTTCAAAAAAACCTGCATTTAATCACACATTCTCCACCACAGACTAAATATATATTATCCATTGAACTGTGAAAGACTCCAGAATAGCAGCCAGGAATTTTACATACAAGAATTGGGGATATATTGGTGGCGGTTTTCTGATAGTGTCATTTAAACTGTCACATTTTAGCGAACAGAACACCCTGCCTCTATAAAATGACTTAATCCTTAAACTGTATTTATACAAGTATTTATTTTATAAGGCTTAGACATTTAAAGACTTCTAAAGAAGAGTCCTGTAAAGGTAAAAGTATGTGTAAGAAATGTTGAGGTCCTGTGCAACACTGCTAAGTTTGTTCTTTATTTTTTACTTTGTGCTGCATAACAAAAGCCACTAGACTGTTACTGTCTTGTTTGTGACTGTGTTAACAGCGTTCCTTAATGATGTATATATGGAGTGGTCTTCAAGCATAATGAGCGATTTTAAAGAGAAAGTCAATCATGGTGGTGCTTCTAACCAGCAAAAAAATCTGAATAATGGAGGACAAGTTTATCCCCAAATTACCTACTGCCCCATTTTTGCACTTTAAGCTCTAAGAAAAAATAAAAATTAAAAAAATTAGTAATATATATCTCTTAAAGGCACACACCATTCTTAAAGAGATTCAAAGGCATTTTCCTATTATGGGAGAGTAATTGACCCTGAATTTAATTACAGATATGAAGAATAGCATGTAGCTATTTCTCTAGTCGACTGTATCCAAAAAACAGAAGGCCATTTCAGAAAATTAGGCTCCCTCATTTAACGACTTGTGTTACTGTTATTTTGAAATTTTTTTCTGTGTTCTTAAGTGATTTGTTTGTTTGTTTGTTTTATCCTTTGTGACTTCAGTTTTGGTTTTGAATTAGTCTTTCTTCGTTTAGTAATTTAATTGTTATCCCTTCATCTGCATGTAGAGTTGTCATGGTATGTAACATAGTAATTTTATTTTGTATTAATTCAGTGTTGAATATTTTCATCCTGATGTCCTGTGCCAGCTCTCACCTACCAGCAGTCTTCACATCCTACATACCTTGTGATAACACTCTGTGATAATTTACAAAAGAATCATACATGTGATCCCCTTACAATTTCAACCTACGTGACATTATTCCTCAGCTACCAAAAAGCTTTCTTGGAATGGCATTGTGCAGCCATAGTACCAAATCTACTCCCAGTACCAGCAGCCTAAGTCTGAAATAACTCGTGGTTTACATGAAATACTTGAGATTTAGCACAACAGATAAGAATTAGATTATGGTCCAAAATAAAACTTTTTCCCTTCAATTTTATTTTGTGTCCTAGGTGAGCAGAACACCATCGCCATAGGGGACAAGTTATAAATTAACATGACTGTTCTCTCCCAGTGAAAGCAACCAGCATCACAAAACCAGAGGTGCAGGATAGTGCATGTCCCTTTAAGAGGGGCTGGAGAAATGCTCTGATGTGATCCTTGACTTCTGCATTAGTTGTAACAATGACACTGAACAAGACTAAAAATGTTTTCCTAATTAAATTTCACCCCGAACCAGTTAAGTATTTGTAGGTAGGCTTCACCTTCATGTAGCTGGGTAATGTGCTACGTTTATAGCCTGGGAAATAAAGCTCTGTTTTATCTGTGTTAGAGGCTCATCACATTAACTGGCTCCGGTTTTGGGGTTGACTTTCTCTTTTGGAATGGCTGCATACAAATTAAGTCTCAGTTTTGAAGACTTAAGGATGAGTGTATCTTTGCTATACAACAAATATGAACTATAATATTCAGTGCTGGCTTCTGATGTGTCAGTAAGTACAGAAGTATCTCGGACACAATGACCTTTGAAACCTTTCAAGCTGTGTGATATTCAAGTGGTTTTGTATATACTTAAATCACGTGGAGCGATGTAAAACCAGTACGACCTTGTCTAGTCTTCAAACTTAACAATAAAACTTTTGAAAAATGAGGTCGTTTTTTGAAGCACTTATGTTGCAGTACCTTGAAGGAGATACAACTTAGCATCACTGGCTGCAAATGCAGAGTAGAGATACAACGTGGCATTTTCCTGTTTTCATTAGTGGGACCTTGGCGGTGGGTAAGTTTGTTTCTTGAAAAAATCAACGGTGGTGCTGTGCTCACTTCAGTGGGTTCCCTTTGGTCTTCCACATAAAAGAGCAAAGGTTTCAATGAGCATAAAAATACTTTTTTTCCCCCTGTCTTACCTCTCTCTGAATGAGCACCAGAAATGTAAAGTGACAATTTCATTTCCTGTAAGTCAAATTTCCGGGTATTCATCAGTGGTTATCTTCTCTTCTCCACTCCTGCATAGGCAAATTAATTTCTGAGAAGACAAAGAAGAGCTGCAGCCCAAACCTGCTACGAGATGCCAAAATAGGGATGTTTCTTGCTCATGCCTCTGCCTCTCTTCTCTTTTCTTTGCTGTGCAGCCTGCTTCCCAAAATTTCCTGGGCTAGTTAACTATGTCATTTCAATTTCTGAAGAAACCTAGCAGTTAAAGTGGTACATGGAAAGGCATTCATGCCCAAATTTAAATATTTTTTTTTTTTTTTTACTTAAAGGAGATGGAGCTTCAGTGGTTGACTCCTGGAATAAGCCCATACATAGACATACTTGTGCCCTTTCACTAAAAATGGTCTTTTAGAGACAAAAACCCCTCACAACCATGCACTGGTGACAGTGTCTGCCAACACTCAAAACAACATATTGTCTTTCTACAGAAGAGTCACAGAACTGCAGTTTTTCCAACTTCTGACAGTAATAAAAATAAAAAAATAACACTGCATACACAAAAAAGAAAAGGAGTACTTTTGGAGAATGATGGATGAATATTAGCACTTCAGCCATAAATTTCTGAAAATATGCATCTTGAACCCTTCTGACTTTTAATTGTAAATTATGGCTGTTTCATGAAACATGGGGAGTTTTCCTGGAGAATTGAAAAGTGTTTTTTTCTCTCATTCTCCATAACATATAACCCCAGGAATTCTAGAGGAGACAGTGAGAGAAAATAATTAGTAATCCTCTTCAGAATAGCAACTATTTATCAATGCCCACCCTCACATACCTGCTGCTAATGAGCTCAAGGGATTGACATGCATATCAACACTCTACATCATTGTGAAAGAAGTAGTCCTTGATGCTTCTGTGGTAAACACAATGACACTTGCTTTGTACCTTAGATTCAAACAGCAGGAGACCAGTCTGTTCACTTAGTGATCACTAAGTGACCTGTGATCACTTCTTAAAAGCAAAATGGATAAAAAGAGAAGGCAATTTTAAAATAGGACTATCTGGGAAGCATCATCTCCTCGGATGGTAAGATTGACAAAGAGATAGACAACAGGTTAGCAAAGGCATATAGAGCTTTTGGAAAACTCCATAAAAGAGTTTAGTGTAATAAACACTTGAAGAAAAGTACAAAGATCAGTGTTTACAGAGCCATTGTGCTCTCTACTCTTCTATATGGATCCGAATCATGGG